ATGACTACAACTTCCTCAGAGATCTTGAATCAAACCCACTGGCTATCCTACTTCCAGAATCTTGACTTTTAAAAATTGCGTTAAGGTAACATTTTTATAAACTGCATGTTTGGAGGGCCAGCATGTTTCATAACACTTGATAGTGAAATATAGTAGAAAAGTAACTCATCTGTTTCTTCAGTATTGAAGAAAACAGGCAAAAATCTATTTTGAGAACAGAAATAAGATTTAAATTTTTGTATTCTATTTCTTTAACCATTTCCATTTTTAATCTTGACATTGTTTAATCATGTCTTACTGTTTTTCCTTTCAAAAAGGGGAGAAAATTTATTTAGGATATTGAAGGTTTGTTTTTAATTGTGTAGATTATGCTTTGTATTATCTAAAACTTTTGGATTTTAAGTTTTACAAAAGGCAGGATGTATATGCATTACTAGGTATGACAATCAAATTTAAAAAGTATTTAACAATACTCGTTTAAGACTTCCTATTTAAGTTTAATCATCACTTCTAATTGTTAACATAGTTTAATAACTTCTCAAATAAATATACTGTGAGAATTCTCCTTAATATTTGGGTAGAATATACTTGGTCTCAGAGCTGTCTTCAGAATTTAATCAACTTTGAGAAACTGTTGAAGAGCAGTTCACTTTCTAACTACTGTATAGAAATGGACATTTTTAATAATACTGGTCTTTATAATCTAAGATTCACATGTATACATCGCCACTAATGACTTCACAAAAGAACATGTTAGCTCCCTTTTCTGCTAAAATAAGTGATAAGACTAGTTAAAACATCTATTTCACAAAGTTTTTTTGTAATTACAATTTTTGAAATAGTCATTTTAGTATCCTCATGCTATATCCTCCCAAGAATATAAGCAAACCTAATACATAGAAGATAATTTTCTGAAAGAAATCTAAAAGCGATTTAAGTAACTCCTATAAAATCAGGCAAAGACAAAAAATCTTGTTGCGACTGAGATAAAATGCAAACACAAACCTTACTCCTGGTACAGTAACCCACAATCAGGAGGGAACCTACAACTCCACTTTCTCCCTGAAGAGTGAAGGGTTTGAATGCTACATCTGGCACTCCAAATGTGAGCCCCCCTTCCTCCCCAAAAAAATATTAGCTCTAAAAGATAACAGATTGATACTGTCTTGTGCCATGGGTACAAACTGAAGATCAGTTCTCAGATGGTAGATATGAATTCGTCATGGCTACAACCCTATACTTAGCACCTAGTCTTTCTGGCACTCCAGTTTTCCTACTTCCTCTCCAGGAGGACATACCTCCTGAATGAGGAGGTCACCTCATTCTGATGATGAGTGATTTACATATACAGATTCCACAGGTCTAAAATAAGTAGGAAAGGGATTCTTATCAGGAAATGACCAGTAGGTCAAAGAAGAGAGCACGAGAGACTGGGACACCTGATCCCTTCTGTGAAAGAGGTCTATGTTCATAGCTGAGCCCTAAATACCCATATAAGCTTACTGTATTATTCTCTATAGACTGGGAAGGTTGTAGACATCACCTTTTATTATCTATCAGCACCACACTGCTAGTGTCTATGTGAAAGACCACTGTGTACACTTGGCACATGGGCTTATATGGCTGCTGCCCCAGAGGACATATTCCTTTATCAGGTTAAGTGACTAGCAGGGTTTGTGCTGATAGGAACAGAGAAAAAATGGACCTAAATCGCCTGTAGTTCAGCTCTAGTCAATCTGCAACTACATGTTAACTGAAATTCTCTTCTTTATGATACTGACAGGTATTGATAAAACTTCAACTACTGGGAGCCAATAAGACAAAGTAGGCTGCTTGGATAGTTATAAAGATCTGAGAGACAACCAGGAGACTACAACTGGATTAAACAATACTTTTTTATCTCTGAACCTGAGGCACCTCTATCAAGACTGGAGTATTTTTTTCCCCCATCCAAAACATCTGTGAAGAGAAATGAGGAAGACTATGCCCCCAACAAGAGAAAAAGGTGCTTCATGGAAAGGAAGCATGTGATTTAACTGGGAAAAAAAAAAGATTTTCTAAATATCTATAGTAAAGATAAAGGTGATCACTGAGATTGGGAACATATGCTTGATCAAATGAGCATTTTAAGCAAGTATTCAAAAGTAATGGAGTTGAGTTTAAAATACAAGAGGTTTAGCAACTAACTAGAAGCAGAAGGATCAATTATCAAGGTGGCAGAACTAATAAAGAGATATAGTGAAAAAAGTAAAGGTAACTTAAGAGACTTATGGGAAAACATCAAGCAAGCTAACATTTATATTATAGGAAGCCTGGGATCTTTTTAAGACATTCAAATTTTATAAGAGAAGCACAAAGATACCCACTGCACATTTATTTTAAATAAAAGGTAAAGACAGGACAGAAGCTAGAGGGAAAAAAAGAACCTGTTTTGTACAAGGGAAACTGCCCACCACGTAAGCTCCACCAAGAAACAAGCTTCCAATCCAAAACTGAAGGAGATACAAGAGTTTTACATATGAAAAGGTAGTAAGTTCTTTACTAACAGATGAGGCTTACAAGAGATGTCAAAAGACACTCTTAGATGAAAGGATACTAACTAAATTGTATGTATACACCTGTAGTATGCATAAATCCCTAGAAACATACATCTTACTAACACTGAAATGTGAAGAAAAAGAAAATTTGAGCAGTTTACATTAAAGCAGTAATTAAAAAAACATCCACAAACAAATGTTTAGGGCCAGATGCCTTCACTGATGAAGTCTACAAAGCATTTAAAGAATATCAACATAATACTTCTAAAAATAAAATAGGAGGGAGCACATGTAAACTCATTTACCAGATCAGCATTATCATGGTATAATACAAGGAAAGAATGTCATGAAATAAAATCATAGGTCAAAATCTGATCAAAATGGCTGAAAAAGTTTTTAACAAAGTGTTAGTAAACTGAATTCAGTAGTACATCCTTAGGATTATATACACCATGAATAAGTGGAAATTATTTCAGGGCTGCAATGATGCTTAACCTCACAAATCCATCACTGATATATCACAAAACAAAAAAGGATAGAAAAACAAATAATCATCTCAGTAGACAACATTTGACTATGATTAAAAAAACTCAAAGAAGGTATAGAGAAAGAACTCTAAAAAATTTTTTTTGATTTTAATGTCTAAAATACATAAATTAAACCAAGGATATGAAAGATCTGTACACTAAAAATTAGGTATAATAAAAGATTAACATCTCCTATAAGGCTCATCTATTGTTAAAGAACTCCAGTACTTTACCTGTAAAACTCTTCTATCTCTGACATTTATGAATTGGATAACGTTTCATTGGTAGAACTTACTTGTCACAGAAACTGAAGAGTTAAGTGAAAACAGTTTCTACTCATGAATTGGAAGAATGTATATCGTTCAAATGCCCATCTTATTCACAGCAAGCTAGAGCTTCAGTACAGTCTTAAAATTTATATACAATCACCCTGAAAGCATTTTTTCCTCAAGATAACAGAAAAAGAACAAAGCTAGAGGCATTAGCTTCAGATTTCAAACTATCATAAAACTACAATAATCAAAACAGTGTACTATTAGCATATAGATACAAAAATCAATGAAAATGAATAGAAATATACTCATGTATATATGATCACTTAAGACAAAGGAGTCAAGATGAGACAATGGAAGAATACAGATTCTTCAAAGAATGGAGTTTGAAAACTGACCAGCCGTAAAAAATATGAAACTGAACCAACATCTTAACATGATACAAAAAAATTAACTTAAAATGTATTAATGTCTTCAACACAAGACCTGCAATCATAAAACTGCTATAAGAAAAACAGTTAAGTTTTTCAACAGATGTGTTGGTGATGATTAGCACCAATAGCAAAGAATAAAAACAAAAACAAACAGGTGGAATTACATCAAACTAAAACTTCTGTCCAGCAAAGGAAACAATCAAAATGCAAAGGTTGAATGGGAGAAAATATTTGCAAATCATGTATTAAGTGGCCAATGCCTAAAAATAGGTTCTAAAAAACACACACAACTCATAACACACACTCACACAAAATTCTAAACAATTCAATTAAAAATTGGCAGAAGTTCTGAATAAACACTGTCCTAAGAATACATATAAATGGGAAATAAGTACCTGAAATGGTGCTCAAAAACACCTATGAGGGAAATGAAAATCAAAAGCAGAATAAGTTATCACTTCACAACTGTTTAAATGGCTACTTTCACAAAGACAAAAAATTACAAATGATGAGGATGTGGAGAAATGGTACCTCTTGTCATTAGTAGTGGAAATATAAGTAGGTGCAGCCACAATGGGAAAAGAACACAAGTCCTTCAAAATATTAAAAACAGAACTACCAGGATTCAACAATTCTACTTCTGAATATTCATCTGAAGGAAACAAAAAAAATCTTGAAAAGATATTTACACTCCCATGGTCCTTGCATCATTATTTGCAATGGTTAAGAAATGAAAAAAAACCTCAGTGTCCAACAAAAGACAAAAAAAAAAAAAAAAAAAAATGGAATGTGTGTTAACACAATGTACTATTCAGCCTGAAAAAGAATCTTCCCATTTGCTACATGGTTGGACCATGAGGTCATTATACTAACTAGGTTATCAGAAAGTCAAATATTATATAATCACAGTAAAGAACTCAGATACAGAGAATGGATTTGTGATTTTTGTGATTATATAAAGTAGGGAATGGGTAAAATTGGTAAAAAGCTTCTGTTGTAAGTAGGTACTAGGGATATACTAAACAGCATGATGACTATAGTTAACTATACTGTGTAGTATATATTTGAAAATTGCTAAATAGATCTCTCAAAAAATTCTCTTAAAACATGATAGATGTAATCTACTTACTGTGATGATCATTTCACTATATATATAGAATTATGACATTACACATCTGAAACTAATCTAACATTATGCTACATGTCATTTATATTTCAATAGAAAAATACCTTCAGGTTATATTTGTGAGCTTTATCCAAAATAGTTGGTACCAAGTCATCAGTAGGTAATCCATTCTCATCATATGAATAGGGTGGGTACCAAGACAGGGCTAGTACACCTAATAAAAAAACCAAAAGAAAAATAAATATCAAAGAAACTGAAATGGCCATTTTTAACTTGAAAATGGCAGAATAAAGACCAAATTTAACAATAAAAAACTTTCTCACAAATGCTGTTTTACTGCTTAGATACTACCCCCTATGGTTACTTGTATTATCAATTAGGAACTCATTATCAGATATCACTATCATTAATTTAATAGGTATTACTTTCTACGGTAAATTTTAGATTTATAAAAAAGCTGCACAGAAAGTATATAGTGTTTCCATATAAACCTAAACAACTCACTGCCTTCTCCCTACCCTACATATAGTTGCATTGTTATGACTCTTACACATCATTGTGGTATATTTATCACTACTGATGAGCCAATATTCATGCATCACTAATAACTAGGATCCATAAAGTGCATTAGGGTTCACTCTGCTGTACAATTTGATGGCTTTTGACAAATGTATAAAATCATATATCCATCATTACAATAGTGTATGAAAGTTTTAGTGCTCAAAAAACTGTTCTACCTAAAGTTTTAGAAACACAAATATACAAAACAATTTTTCTCTACAGAAAGAATATATGAAATCAATTAAATCACAGCTTTATTATTACTATATGATGCAATAGAAAAACTAGCTACCTTACATTTAAAGTTAAGATGATAGCATAAATACAGAACATTTTCATTATTATGCATCATTATATCAGACATTTTATATTACTTTGATATTCCTAATACTCTAAACACCTTACACATGTATAATGATTCTGTTCATTCCTAATAAAGAAGATGAACAACTAGAAAATATCTGGACTCAATGGCTTCACAGGTGAATTCTACCAAAGACTGAAAGAAAAACAGTCTTCCTCAATCTAGTATAAAAACTCAAGAAAAGGGAGCAATTTCTGATTCATTCTATGAGGCCAGTATTTTTTAAAAAAAATTTTTTTTAAGTTTTATTTATGCATATAGAACTGGGGTACAGGCCAGAGGTGCAGGGTGGTGAGAGGCTTCACTGGAGACAGTGGGGAGCAGAACAGGCAGATCAAGGAAACACGCTGCTGAGGGGAGCAGCGGGCCGGCCAGGAGAGTTCTGCCACACCATGTGGTCACCTCCGGGGCAAGCAGGGATTGAACTCATGCTGAAGTGGCTTAGGCTTCTCAGTGCTGTGCTTTAACCCGCTGTGCCAGCAGGGAGGGCTGAGGCCAGTATTATCTTAATAGCTAAAGGTAAGTAAATTAAAGGCTATTATCCCTTATAAATACTACTACAAAAATTCTAAACATCATGCTAGCAAACTGAATGAAGGAGCACATTTAAAGGATACACTAAGAAAGGTTTATTCCTAGAATGCAAGGATGACGCAATACACTCAAATGACCAATATAAAACACTTTACATAATAGAATGAAGGGGAGAAAGCAAAATGATTATCATAGGAAGCATCTTTTGTTATTTTCATGACAAAAACACTAAAAAACACTAGCAATGGAAGGAAACTATCATGGCATAGTCAAAGCTACATGTAAAAAGCCAGAGTGAATAGCATACTCAATGGTTAGAGACTGTAGATTTCCCCTATAAAATTAAAAACAAGGTAAGGGTAACTGTTTTTGTACTCCTAGTTAATACTGGACTTCAAGCCAGCATAAAACGCATCTGAATTGCAAAGAAATAAAAATATCAGTTTATAGGTAACAATCTTGTATGTATAAAGCACTAAAGCTCAAAAATTAAAACTTGTGTTAAAGTCACTCAGAAAAAAATCAGGATACAAAGTATCTAGAATCTATTGTAGGTTGGGAATAGTAGACTCAAATATTTAATGTGAGAATGAAGAAAGGGCAGGTAATTTTAAAGATAAAGTAAATTATGTTGAACTGTTTTAGTATTATTGTTGCCATAACAAATTATGTTATAAATAAATGCAGATTATCTTACAGATCTGTAGGTCAGAATGTAACATGAGTGTCACTAGGCTAAACTTATTAGGTTCAACTAAATTCCTTCTGGAGGCTTCAATAACTTTTCCCTATTGACTCAAGCTTGAGAATACCACAGCCTTTGGCTCATGAATAGCTAAAGCCATTTTTATTATTTTTTTACATTTTAAAAGGACAGGTTTATTAGGAAAAGGCACCAGCATTGTCAGATGGGCTGAAAAGCTGCCAGCCCATTTTTAAAGTGGGGAACAGGGACTGCCTTCAGCAAAAGCCCACCTGTGACAGCCTAGGACTGTATTTATAATAGGTCTGTGGGTACCCACAATGCACAATGTATAGTAAACCTAGTCCCCAATTCTGCTACCAGCTCCTTATGCTTGCTCCTAAGAGAGGCCACAAACATGAGCTCTGGATGGACAGAGAGTACATTAGTAGACCAGTCTGGACAAGTAAGCAATTGTCAACTTGAGTTGTAAGACTAACTCAAGGAAATCAGAACTGATTTTGAACAGTTAGTAAATTTTAAGAATCAGAAAAGAAATGCTTAAAAAACTAACTCTCTAGAGGGAAAAATTAGAGGTAGAAGATACTAATATTGATGATACCCAATGTTGTAGGCCTAAATTAATATGTGTTTCTATCTTCTTTTTAACAAAAATATTATAAAATAAGGATATGATGAATATATCTTGTACATCTGTAAAATGTGTCTGAATTCTGAGCTATGTGTTATTATAAGAGTAAAAAAAATAAGCTGAATACTAACTGAAGAAATTTATAAATTTGTTTATCCTAGATGTACAGTATTTAGGAAGATTACAATAGCACACAATTATATCCGAGATCATGTATGCAAAACAACTTACCAACTCACATAGAGCACCTCCTAGACCTGCAAACTCCATTAATGAACAATGTGTTCTATACAAACTTAACACATTTTTACCTTTTATGCTGTATTTTTTAAACTTACAACTAGAAGTTACAGTATTCAATAGTAACATGCTGTTCATTCAGGTTTGCAGCCCAGGGGCAATGTGGTATATACTGAGTGTTTTCAGTATGTTAACAGGCTATACCATCTAGGTTTGTGTAAGTACACCTTAGGGCATTCCACAAAGACAAATCCTCCTAACTTCACATTCTCAGAATGTATTTTTATTGTTCAGTGATGCATGACTGTATGAATTAGAAAGTGCACGTAATAGGACAGACCTAACAAATGAAGAAAAAAAAAAAAGATAACTTGGAAATAGTTTTGAATTTACACAGAATAGCAGAGGAAAATCCTATTTTAGAATGAAGAAAATCTACATTTTCTATGGTAGCCATCAAAAACACAAATATTAGAATTGAGATTCCAGAGAGAAAAAAAAGAGGTAGAGTTATTTAAAGAATAGCTGAGAATTTCCCAAAACTGAGGAAAGGTATGTCAGATTTATGAAACTAATAGATTGCCCTGTGTTCTCCAAAAAAATTCTAATTAAGAATCACAAATCAATGACAAACCTTAAAGACAACTGGGAGGATGTATGTTTGGTATGTGTATAAACATAAAAGGAACACATTTAGCCTTAACAGCAGATTACTCTCTCCTTGTCTGTTATTTTCTTGTGAGTAAAGTGACACACTGAAATAAGTGTTAGGCTACAGTGCTTTATCAGGCAAATGTACCCTTCAGCCATGAAGGAGATATAAAGTTTTTCCCAAAGAAAAATAAGCTGAAGGAGTGAGTTCACTAACACTGGCCTTTCCTGGAGAAAATGCAGAAAAAAAGGTTATCAAACTTAAAAAACAAAAAAAACTTATCAGTCTTATATGAAAATACGAAAAAACAAAACAAACAAACAAAAAACACCACCACACTGGTAAAGATGAAAAAATATATAGTCACACTGACAAAACTAAGCTCTCTATTAGGATGGTGTGTTAAGTGATAGTATAAAAGAAAAAAAACTAGTAACCATCGGTGGTATAAATTTTTAGCAAAAACACGAGAGGAAGTAAATTTTGACATTAATAATGTAAAAGACAGTAAAAGGATGGAGTTTTTATAGGTGATCAAAGATAAGTTACTATAAGCTTAAAATGAGCTGTTTTCTCTGTTAAGGTGTTTTATGTAAAGGCTATATGGTAGTGACAGCAAAAATATAAAGCAGCTTCACAAAAGATAAACAGAAAGTAAGTATATCACCACCACCACACACACAAAATTGAACCAGACCAAAAGGGGGAGGGGGGAGAGGGGAGGAGGGG